GACTGAAAATATCATGGCTTGTGTCAGGCACACCTTAGTCCTCAAGGAGACATCCTTGCTCTTCAGCACTTGAAAGAGGTCCCTTGCAGCCAATTTGCCCAGTGTTACATGTCGTCTAATGTCCTGACTGCTGCTTCCACTGGCATCGATTGTAGAACCAAGCAATGGGAAGTCTTTGACAACTTCAATCTGGTGTACACAGGGTCTCTGTAAGTCTGAACCAACTCAACCACACCTAAGAAGGAAAATTGTCCAGCCTTTTCCCTTCAGCTTTTTGCCCACAGAAATACCCTACTGGCTTCCAGAAAATAGCATAAGCTTCCTTTAAAAAACCAAAACCCACTGCCATTGAGTCAACTCTGACTCACAGCGACCCTAACTGGGTTTCCGAGGCAGTAAATCTTTACGGAAGTAAATTGTCCAGGCCGAGTCTTCCTTCTGCGGAGTGGCTGGTGGATTTGAACTATCAACCTTCTGATTAGCAGTCAAATGCCTTAGGCACTGCAGCAAGTGAAATACCACCCAGCTACTCTTTCTCCCTTATCCTGTTTCACTTTTTTGCCCATTTAAGAGCCCCTGACATTTTATGTATTTATCATGTTTCTCACTAGTAACATCTAAGCTCTATGAAGGCAGAGGTTTTGAATATTCTGTTCACAGGCACATTCCCAGTTCCTGGAACTGTACCTGGCATGTAGGAAGTTCTCAAAGTTCTTTGTAAAATTAAAGTGTTAGAAGAGTGAATATTATGTTAAAATTGTTCAGTTTTAAGTTTTGGTCTATTTGTGTGTGTATGTGTGTGTGTGCGTGCGTGTGCACAAGCACGCGTGTCAATTTACAGACTCCACAGTATAATTTCCAGTATCAACCAACTCAGGAGTCAGAGGATCAGAAGTTTGGTGGGGGAAAAAGGAGAGTGGCTGCAAAAACAAAGCAACACATCTTACTAAATGGGGTGAAGGAATCAAAATACTGTCCAAAAATGATTTTAAAGATAAACGAAATTCCTCTCTCTGTGCCTTCCATGTCTGAAATCCAATTGCTGCAAGTTCAAATTCACTTCAGGTTATTAGTTGGTTTGCTTTCTTCCTGGAGAAAGCTTTTGAGGTTTCTTGACTCGGGATTTTTTCCTTCTCTCCAAATTCCTGTCGGCAAAATGTGAAGTCCACAGATTGAAACTGAGTCTCCATTTCTATTTTGGGATTTGCCTGAGTCACAAGGTAGTCCTGGCGAATCACTCTGCTCTCTTTCGCTCAGTTTACTGAGGCTGCCTGGGAACTTGAACTGTCACCCACTCAGGAAGAGGGCCCTTCTGCCTGACTTCAAAAGGCTTAAGTCCATGTGGATGTGGTGAGGTTTAATGATAGATATAAACCCCTGCAAATGGATGGGGAGAGGGAAGGGGAGGAAGCAAACATTCTACTTCATTTCCTCTATATAAATTCAGCACTGGGAGAAAGAAGACTATGGCTCTAGAGCTGAGTCAATTTCCCAATGGTTGCATTACACATGCTTTCAAGGAAAGAGTTTTTTTTCTTTATTCCTAAAATGTATGCCATGACACCCCAAACCCCAACTCCCAATGAAAAGAATGTGACTGATCTGACCCTGGCAAAGTTACACTGTTAAAAAACAAAAGAACCCACATCTGTGTTCTTAAACATGTATAAACCATAAATCAAATCAAACCCCACTACCATCCACTCGATTCTGCTCATAGCGACCCCCAATGGGCTTCCAAGGCTGTAAATCTTTATGGAAGTAGATTGCCTCATCTTTCTCCCTTGGAACAGCTGGTGGGTTTGAACTGCTAACCTTCTGGTTAGCAGCCAAATGCCTTACCCACTATACCACCAGAGCTCCTTATAAACCATAATGGTACCTACCCCTTTTTCACCCCTAAGGATGCGTATGAAGAGCTTCTTCCGCCTTCCATCACCCTGAACTACTGGCTGTGCAGCTAGCATCTCATCCCCAAATTGCATTTGCCCCCATGATGCCTCTTTACAGAATACTGCTTTCTGTACTCACACAGACAGGACAGAAAAGATGACAAACCCTGAAGATGCAGTCGCGCAAGTCTCAAACTGGTCCACCGCTCAGCCTGCCCATCTCGCCTCTCTCCCCTTGGCTGGCTTCCTCTCTGGGCCCAGGGTCAGCGACCTTGCAGACACAGGAGCTTAGGACCCAGGGGGCGCCTTTTCACCGAAAATACCTCGCGCCGCTGCAGCGAGCGAGCTTGGGAAGCTCCCAGTTCTAAAGAGAGGCTGTTTACCAGAAGCGCAGAACAAGGGCTGGTCCGCCTGCAAGGCTGGGGCGGGAGGCAGCGCCACCGCCAAGGAGACCCCGACTGCCCGCCCTTGGGACACAGGTTGTTGATCCACCTGCTGGACGGCCGAGGCGAGGATGCTCCTGGCCTGGGTGCAGACGGTCCTTGTCAGTAACATGCTCCTAGCAGAAGTCTGTGGAGCCGGAGGTAAGATAACAAGCTTTCATTCCTGCAGCAACTTAACCAAGCAGAACGAGGAAAGCGCCCACTTCCCACCGTGGCCACGGTAGACAGGAAGATGGCAGAAAACGAAGCTTTCAGCTAGTTTGTCTTGTCCCAGGAAACCTTTTATTCCCTTTCCTCTTCCTTGCAGAGGCTGGCAGCTATTAAGAACAAAGACAAGAAGCCACTTTTTCTCTCCCTTTTTTTGCCTGGGGCTCCTAAGTTGATGGCGTTTAGGGGTTCACCCCCCACACTCCCAGCGCCGTTTTTTTCTGGGGCTTTTTCATAGCGTGAACGAGTCCAGACTCCTCCTGGGGCGCTCAGGCTGAGCGGAGTGGGGGTTTGGAGTCAGCGCCTGGCTGCGGCGAGACAGGTTCTCTCCGGTGATGCTCTGGGCCCTTTCGCCTGACTGACTCCCGGACTTTGTGGAATTCTCCCGGGAGCGAGCGCTGCCTGTGAAACCTGGCAGCTGTGGCCGTACCGCGGAGGAGGGCACAGCCGAGTTTATGTAACACGGACACCGTAACACAAGGAGGAATTTCAGGTCTGGCCGCCCACCATCTCCACAAAGGGTCTCCAGCCCAGACCCCGGCCTCCCTTAAAGTGGCCACAAGTTCAGAGTAACAACCCCCCCTTGCGTTTCTGCAGCGCTTTGCGGGCTGACAAAAACACCACCACAGAACAGCGAGCATTCTGTGAGCGCTGACGGGGGCTAGGCACCAGCTAGGGGCTCCGCGTTGGCTCTGGCTCGTCCGGGCCTCACAACAGCGCTGAGAGGCCGGGGGGTCTCCGCGCGAGGAGAGGGAGACCCGGCCTGACCCTGCCCGGGGCTCCTCTTCCTCACAGGCTGCTTCGGGGACAACGGCCACCTGTACCGGGCGGACCAGCCCTCACCCGCGCCGGGCCTCCGCTGCCTCAACTGGCTGGACGCACACAGTGGCTTGGCGTCGGCCCCCCAGGCGGGTAAGTGTCCGCCCTAGGCGGTGGGTGGGAGGCGGCGCAGCCGGGGCTCCGACCACGGCGCTTTCTCTACCTTCCTAGGCGCCGGCAATCACAGCTATTGCCGAAACCCGGACCAGGACCCGCGCGGGCCCTGGTGCTACGTCAGAGGCGAGGCTGGCGCCCCATATAAGCGACTGTGCGAGGACCTACGCTGCCCAGGTACCCGGGTCGCGGACCCTAGGGCCGGGCTTGACTGGGAGCGGCCATTACATCCGCCGCGCACGTGCGGCCGCGCGTTGCCGGCCAGCCGCGCCCCGCCCCCGCGCCCACCGATTGGCCAGGGTTGTCTCCAGGCCGAGCGCCAGAAAGCCCATTGGCCGCCGCCTCCTCTGGGGGTGAGCTCATCCTCCCCGAGCACCTTGTAAACAACCGGAGGAGGTGGGGCTCCGCCCGTGACCGCGCGCTCCCCGCCCCCCCAGGCGCCGCCTAGGGCCGACCCCCGGACCGAGCCCGAGGCCGATAGCCCTTAGCAACCCCTTAGTCTTTTACTGAGTATGGAGCGTGCGCTGTGTGCCAGGCACTCAACTCATCCCACCCTTACCCGTGGGAAGCTGTTTAGGGGATCTGAGACTCAAAGTTCAGTGACTTCCTAAAGGCAGGGCCCATATTTGAATCCAAATTCGAAAGACTCCACCGAGCAGACTTGTTTTTCTCCAGAATTAAGGGAAATAACACCGGGTTTGGCACAAAGCCTGGGCTCAGTGAACGAAAGATGTCATGAGAGGGTTTTTGGTGTGGAGGGGACCCTCTGGTGAAGTTGGCACTGGCCTGAGCTTGAAGGGTAGCAAGGACTTGAACAGAAAAAAACGTGGGAGGCAGAAGAGAGGCCTTTCTTTAAAACTTCGGCTCATATTTGCCTTATGTCAACGTTGGTGCACCCTTAGGCCTGGCTTGCGGTGGTTTTGATTTCTGTGTGTGTGTGTGTGTGTGTGTGTGTCGGGGGGGGGGGGGGGGGCCATTCTAAGGCGGACCCCCCCAACATTCCCTAACACTCAGACCAGGGTCAGCTGAGGAGTTCACTCAGGATGGTCTCTGATGAGCACTATTTCCCATCTCCCCTCCAGAGCCGCCTTCCCCGGCTCCACCAGCCCTGGTAACTGACTCGGAGGAGGCACAGGTATTCCCTCCTGCCAATGCCCTACCTGCCCGGAGTGAGGCGGCAGCGGTGCAACCTGTGATTGGGATCAGCCAGCGGGTGCGAATGAACTCCAAGGAGAAGAAGGACCTAGGGACCCTGGGTATGACTGCCCCAGCCCTATCCTTGTTGGATCCATAAAGAGATGTCATTTGCTGGTTGTCCAGAGCGTGGCTGATGGGATTTATGTCTTCTTCTTGGCAGGCTATGTGCTGGGCATCACCATGATGGTGATCATCATCGCCATTGGAGTTGGCATCATCTTGGGCTACACTTATAAGAGGTCAGTAGCTTCCCTTGTGAGTTCTCTTGAGAGGAGGGGAGGGGGAAGGTTGACAAAGTTAAATCAGGCTTCTCTGAGGGATTCTTACATAAAGAGGAAGTGAGGTGTTGAAAGCATAAAACCAGCTCAGGATGTAGAGAGTTGGTTCTGGTTTTCACCAGGTGCTTGGACAAACACGTTCCTTTGGTGCCTTTACTCCTCACGCAAAGCCTTATGAAGTAGGAGTTCTGGTTTCCTCCAATTTCCCCCCATTATGGATGAGGAATCTGTTGTAAGAGAAATGAAGTGACTAACCTAAGGTCACAATGCCTAGGAGTTGCAAAATCTGGTTCAAACCTAATTCTTTTGATACCAGTTTCCCCACTGTCTAATCTAGGTTCCTGGCATGGAAGTGGGTGGCTCTGCAGAAATCGGGCTGGGCACTCATTGCAGCTACCAGGAGACTGAAGTCTTCCAGTGAGTTATAAAACTCTGCTGCTTAAAAAGGTCCCCAGCCACCCTTTCTGCAGTTGAGGCATGAATTTCCTGAACGACAAAGCAAAAACCAAACCCACTGCCATCCAGTCGATTCCAACTCTTAGCAACCCCTCAGGGAAGTAGACTGCCCAGTCTTCCTTCTGTGGAGTAGCTGGTGAGTTTGAACTGCCAACCTTCTGGTTAGTAGTCAGAGGCCTTAGGCACTGTGCCACCAGAGCTCCTGAACCACAGGCAGTGGGATTTCCTCTAGGAGAGGAGGAAAAAGTGAGTTGGAGAACAGACAGCCAGAGTCATTTCGCCAGCCATCATCATGTATGAGAAAGCCCAAGAGGCAACCTAGGAAAACTCAGCGATCTGACCTGTGGCTGCAACAGCAAGAGGAAGAATGCTATTTTGAAAAGTCCCTGAGATACTGTGTAGAAAAGGCTCCCCAGCGTCTCAAAGTGACATGTGCACAATGACAAAGCGGAGTGGCATTCATTTGTATAGCACTGGATGACTCTGGAAAATCATTTGCCATTTGTTCTGGTTCCCTAGTGCTACTCTGACAAGAAATATACCACAGACGGGATGGCCTTAACAAACAGGAGTTTATTCTTTTATAGTTTGGAGGCTTTAAGTCCAAGTTCAAAGCACCAAGCTCTAGGGCCTGGGTGAAATCCCCTCAGCCTTGGGCTTCAGCTCTGCCTCCTGCTCCCGGCCCACTGGAGCTAGAGGCCTTTCTTCACTCAGACAGCTGCTGGCTGCTGAGGCTGACAAACTCCAAGGTTGACAAATAAAAAGACACAGCCCCGATGTTACCAAACCACACGGCAGGCCATTAATTTAAGCCCATTGTAAGTCCCAAGGTCGGCAGAGCATGGCAGGCTGCTGCACAATGACACGGCTACATGCAGGGTCCAAGTGTGCCATAGGCTAGAGACCATTCCCAAAGCTTCTCTTTATATACAGGAAGCAGACCACATCCCACCATGGAGTTGATTGCCAGTCTCATCATGGGGAATAACTACCACCAGCTGCCCAGCCACTCAACCAGGCCCCGCTGAGTTGACACAAAAACATAACCACCATACCATTTCTGGGAAAGATCAAGGGTTTGACTTCCAGCCCTGTGGGTTTGTGCTATTTCTCTCGTATGGTCAGAGAAGGCTTCCTTGAGGGAAAGTGGCATGGTAGCCTGCAGTTCCCAGTATCGAGGCCCACATCTGAGCCCGTTGCTCCCATGTGTCACCCAGCATCATCATACAGACCTGGAGTGTCAGAGCCTGATGGGCCATTGGAGGTGACGTAGTCAACCTCTTTATTTTACTGATAAAAAAGGGCAGTATTGGGTAATGATAGTAATCATTCTTATTTATCACGTGCTGGATTTTGCTTCAAGTTCTTTACATGCTTTAACTCGGTTCCCACAATCACACATTGAGAGAAATGCAGTTATTATCCCAAGTTTACAGATGAGAAAACTGAGGTGACAGGATGTGTACCTTGCCCAAGGTCACACCCTAGCGTTTGGTGGCGTCCATTTCCTAGCCCTGCCACTTACTCACTGGCTTGACTTTGGCCAACTTATTTCTCTTTCCTACTCCAGAGTACTACCGTGGGGTGAAGGCACGTGATGGCTTATGTGTGGCACCTTGTAAATGGTAGCTGTTTTTCCTGTATGTGGTGGGTGCTGGACGGCTGCTTTCTGAGCCCCAGTCCTTTGATTTTCTCATTCAGAAAGCAGAGGTCCACAGAGGGGATGCGATGAGCCTGAGAGGGTCTTTTGCCTTGCGGTCCGGGGTGGTTGCCTCAGTGGGATGGTTGACATGACAGGTTCAGACATATCTGCTATTTCCTTTCCTTTACTGTTTTACAAGGAGCTCTGGTGCTGCAGTGCATAAGGCATTTGACTTCTAACCAGAAGGCTGGTGGTTCAAACCACTCCACAGAAGGAAGACTGGGCAATCTACTTCATTGGGGGTTCGCTATGACTCGGAATCGACTTGATGGCAGTGGGTTTGGTTTTTAGGAGCTCTGGTGGGATTTGACTGCTAACTAGAAGGCTGGCAGTTCAAACCCACCAGCCACTCCTCGAGAGGAAGGTTGGGCAGTCTACTTCCCGCAGTGATACTGCCTCGGAAACCCAAGGAGGGGTCGCTATGAGTGGGATCTGACTCGACGGCAGTGCGCATTGCTTGTATTGCGTTTGAGAGACTTAGAGGAAATGACATGGTGGCCCTGGCCTTACAGTTTGTAGTCAGACCCAAACCTTGTGGCTGAGTTTAGCCCTTCACATGTTTCCTTCCTTAGCCACTGGACAGCATTTGGCTCTCCTCCAATCTTATATAGTTTCCAGGCCTCCAAGTGCTTGGAACTGACTAGCTGTTCTTAATTCCGAGCTTGGTTCTGATGTCCAATGAAGGAGCCAAACTGTTTTCTTCTAATTTGGTCTTTAAGGCAGTCATGGGACTGCCCTGAGGCTTAGAAGTTGCTTTCCTATAAACTCAGGGCAAGGTACCCAGTCACCTGACTCCCCGTCATTCACCACCAATCACCCCTTTCTTCAAGAGATGTGTTCTGAGAACACAGTGTACAACAGGAAACCACAACGGGCTGCAGACCGGCTCTCAGCTCCACGTGTGACACAGGTTTCAACTCTTCCCCAAATCAGAAAACAGTGTCTTAGAAAGAAGAGCTATAAGCAGAGTAGCAAGTTTCATCACTCCTCCGAACCTTGGTTTCTTGTCCATTAGATGGGGATACACCCCCTTTCATATATACCCATGCCCTCCCCGCACCCACCTGCCCAAGGTGGTCTGAGGGCTAAGTGTGAACAGGAGGGTCGTTACTATTACTAGATAACAAGCACAGTCCCCATGACATTAATCATGTGTTTCCTACTAGTTCTGCCCTAGTGGGTGCTTTACCCAGATGATCTTGCCTAAGCCACTCCTCGGAAGGAAGGTTGGGCAATCTTACTTCCGTAGTGATACTGCCTTGGAAACCCAAGGAGGGGTCGCTATGAGTCAGGTATGACTCGACGGCACATAACAACAACAACAACAAGCTTCTCGAGCACTCTAGAGGGAGCACGGTTCCACCATTTGACAGGGAGCGGCCGAGCCCTGGAGGAGCTCAGTACCATGTCCAAGTTACACAGCTGGTAAGCGGTGCCTGAGGATAGTCAGTATCTTCAGAAAGTCCGTGGAGGTCCAATAGCCTCATGTAAATTTGCTCTGACTTACAAAATAGGAAAAATAGAAACTTGGGGGAAAAAAAAAAAGCTAGGGTTAGAAGTTAAAACAATCAGGACATGGGTCCTGAGTGGCACAAATTCTGGGTGTGACACTCCAGAAAACTCACTGCCATTGTCGATTCCAACTCATAGCGACCCCCATTGGGTTTCTAGGCAGTAAATCTTTACAGAAGTAAATTGCTCCATCTTCCTTCTGCCAAGCAGCCGGTGGGTTTGAACTGCTGACCTTCTGGTTAGCATCCGAAAGTCAATTACCTTCTCTAGGTCTCAGTTTTCTTTTTTTTTGGGGGGGGGGGCATGGGTCCTCAGTTTTCTTACCTGTAAAATAGGGCTAAGGGGTTAGATTAGATAGCATGATCCTCCCAGCCCTAATATCCTGAAAAGACATACTGCCTGGTAGTGGACAGGCAGGCCTAGGTTCAAATCCTGGCTCTGCCATTTACTTGAACAAATAACCTCTGTTCTGCCTTCTCCTCTCTAAACAAAGATCATGACAGATACCACATAGGTTTGTTGTGAGGATGAAATTAGACAGTGTAGTTAGGGCATACAGTGGGTGTTTACAGACTGTGGCCGCTTGGGCGGACTTTTCCTGCCCAGCAGTGTGGCACAGCACAGCTTCTGACTGGGAAGACAGCACAGTTACGTAATAGTTTGAAGAAACCCATGTTGCCTGAAGGAGGTCTGCGGTACCTCTGTCACCCTGAAAGGCGGAAGTCAGAGGCAGGCCACAGCACCATCTGTGCCTGGTCCTGCTGGCCAGCCTGGCTCCTGGCCCTGGCCTGGGAGCAGTTAGGGATAGAATTACTGCAAACCTCAAGCTCTGCCAAAGGCCTGGAAGCCGTGGCTAATGGATGGCGCTTTCCCCTGCCTGGGAAGGATGGGCAGGCACAGGCTTCCTCTCAGGGGAGGAAGGGCGGCAGGTGGGGGCCTGCAGAGGCTCCGTCTGGCGGGGTCTTTGTCCTGGTTGTCTAGGCCATGAGGTTCAGACGGCTAGTCGGCAACTGAGCAGCTCCCTACCCCTGCCCCAAGAGTAGTGTCTGTGGGAGCTCCCGGAGGGAGCTCTTATTCTCTGATAAAAAGGCAGAGGAAAAACTGTAAGTCAACACCACTCCACCCACTTAGGAGAGGAGCTGAGTCAGTGAATAAGCCTTTTGTTCTTTCTTGGCTGCCAGACAACAGCCTGGCTGGCCCCCCTCGGCCTCCCACAGGCGGTGAGAAGGAGCCAGGCTGCCTGATGGTTAGCTCGGCGGGTCTGGCAGCCTCTCCAGGCTTCCCAGGCACCATTAGCAGGAGGCACATAGGGCTGGGTGTGTTTGGAGGTCTCTCAATGGATGAGACTATACTCCCGACTGGCCCCAACATCTACTTCCCTTTGGCTGCTCTTCCAGCCCCGCTCTGCCCCATTAATACAAATGGGTTCTTCTCTCCTAAACACTTGGGTGTGATGCAGCCATTATCAGCAACTTGCCTGACACAGCCAGATGTCTGGTGAAGAAGGTAGTTGAGAAAGCAGGGGCTCTGGAGTCAGACTCCAAAACCTGTTTCCTTGTCTGTAAAATGGGGATCAGATCATCTTGCAGAGAATTAAAAGGCGATGGGGTCTCTAGAAAGTGCTTGCCATCCGATAGGTGTGTAGGTTCCCAGCATCTTAGTAGGTGCTCAAGAAGTTCCCAGCTTTCCCCCTTCCTTTGCCCCTCCAGTTTTGAAATTCAGGCCTCAGTAAAAGACGCACACATTATCCATTTCGTCTGTAAATTGACTTCTGGGTTCCCTCCCTCTGGTCAGGGACTTCGTTAATAAAATTAAACCCAGACCTTCCAAGTTTCTTCCTACATGGGCAACCTTGAAGAATCTGGCTTTTTGTTTTATTGTGTCAGCAGCTGAACCCGATGAGCATATCCCCAGGGCAAAGGGACTCTCAGGCCAGGAGTGTGGCACACACAGTCCAGCCAGCCCTCTTCACGTGGACAGTGCCCCTCTGTCCCCCTGCACGCCTGGGAATTCTTCTGCTCTGGGAATTAGTGTCCAACGCAGATGCTGACAACAAGGATGGAAGAGGCTGAGCCTCAGGCTTGTACATTGCAAAGTTCAGTCACCCTCCAGTCATCCAGGGTAACTCAAGGAGATGAGTTTACAAATTTGGCTCTTGTGAGAAATGGAGTCAGAGTCCCTCTTGGGCGCGGAATCTGTCAGGGACTAGAGATGATCAAAGTCAAAATGCTTTACAGATGAAGAAAGGAAGGTCGCTGAGGTCACTCATATAAATCATACTTGTCTCAGCTGGGCAGTAGGCGTTTCCTTGAGAAGTCAGATGATGATAACATTGCTTAGTGAGTCAAGTCATATTTGGGGCAGATCATAATAACTGCCCACAATTTTACAGCACTCTCACTGTTTGCAAAACACTTTCATGTTTATCAATCTTACTTGAGAGGCAGATTATTTCCCTCATTTCACAGATGAGGAAACCAAGGCTAGGAGAGGCTGAGGGTTTCACCTAATGGTTTCACCATTAGGGTTACACAGCTAATCACTTGCTGAGGGGGTTCTGGAACACAAGTAAAGGGGACTGGATGATTTTAAGGCAGTTCTGAGGCCCTCATGAAAGCGCTACCCACTCAAGCTCTCTTTTCCCCCCACATTTGTCTCTAGTCTCCAGTCTCCATCACTGTACTTCACATCGTGATGGCTGGGGATGGATCCTTCTTGCCCTCCCTGAGGAGAGCTGAAGCCTGTGTTGCTGCACTCAGTCAGCCACCAGCTGCCATTTCAAAGCCCCTTTGGGGGTGGGCCCCGCCTGGGCTGAGCCCACGTGTGTGTAGCCTTGCCGTTGCTGGTTTTGGAAGCTGCTGACCAGGCCCTGGGCCCTGGTTCTGGTGTGTAGTGTGCTGTGCACGCACCAGATCCTCTAATCTGCATAGAGGTGGCCTGGCTCGGTGGGCAGAGCCCTGCATGTCAGCCCAGATGAGTCCCTGCCCCTCCATTCCATGTGAAGTGGCCCAATAGGGTCAGAACTCTGAAATCAACCAGAGCCCAACAGATTTGGGATGAGCCCACCATATCCTAAAGACTAACTTAACTTGTCCAGGCCACTTCCTTGTATGAGCGAGGAGACCTAATTCTTATGGTGGAGCTGAGGATAAGGTATTCTGGTGGTATAGTGGTTAAGGCATTTGCCTGCTAACCAAAAGGTTAGTGGTTTGAACCCACCACCCGCTCCATGGAAGATAGATGTGGCAGTCTGCTTCTGTAAAGATTTACAGCCTTGGAAACCCAACATTGTTGTTATGTACCGTCGAGTCGGACCCAACTCATAGTGACCCCTCCTTGGGTTTCCGAGGCAATATCACTACGGAAATAGATTGCCCCATCTTCCTTCCGAGGAGTGGCTGGTGGGTTTGAACTGGCCAGCCTTCTAGTGAGCAGTCAAATGCCTTGGGCACTATGCCACCAGAGCTCTGTGGAAACCCGATAGGGGTCCCTATGAGTCAGAACTGACTCAATGGCAGTGAGCGAGTGAGAGAGCTGAGGATGAAATGTTAAAAGTAAGTAAATAATTAAGTAAAATAAAATATATGCAGTAAAGAAAATATATAGAGTGAGATGATACTAGCATGGAGTGAGCACTCAGCATGACTACAGTGAGCAATGAGGTAATACTGTGGCCTGGTTGGTCACTGAGGATCCAAGGGCACGTGCAAACCATCAGGGGTTTTAAGGATAGTCATTGTCTCACTGTTTTCCACTGACCTAAGCAGCCCATAAGGTGCTCTGGTGGCACAGAGCCTAAGGCATTTGACTGCTGACCAGAAGGTTGGTGGTTCAGACCCACCAGCCACTGCAGAAGGAAGATGGGGCAATGCACTTCCTTAAAGATTACTGCCTCAGAAACCAATGGGGGTCACTATAAGTTGGAATCAACTCAACGGTGGCGAGTTTGGTTTGGTTTGGAAGCAGCCCTTAGAACCCTTTTTGCCCCTTGAAGGGGTTGGGGATGGTCCCTGTTTCCAGCCTAGGCTCACTCACACCTTTAGAACAGGTCTATTTTCTGAACAACTTTGTAGGTAAGGGATGAAGCTGGCATAGTCTGGGTCTCTCAAAGCCCTCAGCTGAAGGAGCAAAACTCTGTCTTGCTTTAAAAATCTCTTTTCCCCCACATTACCTTGAAGGAGCCTCAGCATAGCTGTGAGCAGTTCCTACGGCTTCATCCCCATTTTACAGATGAGGAAGCAGAGACCAGAGGTGTCAGGGCTGCTTGTTGAGTTTGAAGCAGTCTGGAAACTTGCTACCTGGACTTGGGTTTAAGTCCTGACACACCGTGACCGCTAACCGCTGTCTGGGCCTCGGGGATGTGTCTGAGGCACGCGGCCCGACCACTGCCCTCTCTCCTCACAGGGGAAAGGCCTTGAAAGCGCAGCATGACCAGAACGCGTGTGAGAGGGAGATGCAGCGTGTCTCCCTGCCCCTGTCTGCCTTCACCAACCCCGCCTGTGAGATTATAGATGAGAAGGCCGTCGTCGTCGTCGTCCACACCAGCCAGACTCCAGTCGACCTTCAGGACGGCAGCACCCCCCTCATGGACCAGGCGGGCACTCCTGGGGCCTGAGCCCCCATGAGGGCAGGAGCCCGTGAGACAATGGTGCAGGACAGCCCACCCTCCCACGGCTGGGAGCATCTCCACTTTCTGTTGTGGTTAAAACCCTCCCTCCACTTAATTTTGCGTGTGAGTCCCAGTGGCAGACGGAAGCGGATGGTGCTGTGGGCTGCGGGCCAGGCTTGGGGAGGGACGGGCCAGTGCTCCTTCTCCGTCCCTTGGAGCAGGATTCTGCCTGTGGATGGTGCTGCTGCTGCCGACGAGGGCTGACGAGGGCTGACAAGGGCTTCCGAACATTGCCTGCACCCCCAGAACCACACCGGGCATGGACAGGGAGCCAGGCGCCCCCACGTCCCGCAGGCTCCTCTGTGCTTTCTAATCTGAGATGGCCTCTGTCTCCGCCTTCCCGTTTGTTCTCTGTGGGCTTGAGTGGCACAAACTTGTTATTCGTAGTTCAGGTCAAGCAGGTCGAGAGAGGAGGCTTGTTTTTTTTTTTTTTTTTTTTTAATGTGCTTAGTTTTTTAAAAAACTCTCTGGGATGGGAACTCCCTACTGACCTCTGGAGAACTGGAAATGAGTTTGTGTGAAAGCTGGAACTGCAGCCCCAGAGCAGGGCCGAGGCGGGGGGCCGCGGGGGGGCGCTCCAGCCTGCTGGCAGTGCTGTGCTTTGTCAGCCGCGAGGCCCAGAGACCTTCCCTGTTTGGAAAGGAAAGGAAGGGAAGAACCGTGCACGGATCATGCCACTTAAGTTGGAGGTAGAGAAGGAACCACTCCTTGCCTTAGGCTGCAGGGGCAGAGAGAGCCCCAGGCAGTGTCCTCAGGGGTGGACCGTGACCTTCTTCTGTTTTGCAGGGTAAGAGAGCAGCCGGCTAATCGGTGGAGTTCCACTGTGGGGCCCTGTGAGCTGCTTCTGAAAGGTTAGCCCAGAGGCCCGCTGATAGAAGTGCTTCATGGCCCTGCAGGGACCCGAGTTTGCAGGTGACCTTGGGGCCTCCGGGCCAGTGCCTTCCAGCGGAGCTGCGGCCACAATTCCTAACTTGTAAAACAATCACAGTCATTGGAAAGGACCTAAGGGCTCTCTGCAGGCCTTTAGGACCCAGGACCCAGGGAGGGAACACGACTGGCCCAAGAGGACACAGCAAGCTGCTGGCGTGGCCGAGAACCCAGCTTGCGGACGGGGTGCATTGCCCCTCTGCACTGGGCAGGGTCTCCACAGCCTGCTGTCCCACTCAAGACGCCTTGGTAGCACACCCCACTCACAGAGCTTCCTTCTCAAAGCCCTTCCGTTTCCAGTCAGGTGGGGGAGGGGCTGGCGTGGCTCCTCTTCGGCAGGCTGGCCCTTGGAGCCGTTTGCTGAGGGACCTAGGCTTGGGGTGGTCCCTTGGTCGTGTTGCTGAAGAAGAGGACATTACTGGTTTAGACTTTTCTGAAAGAAGCATTTCTCTGTTTTATATACCTCATTCTGACACCTGTGTATCGGAGCAGAAAACTGCTCTGCATTAGACTGACACCAATTAAAAAGAAAACAAAAAAGGATTTCACACTGCTGAGTGTGTGTTGCGTCCCAGGAACACTGCCTCCTAAGTTGAGGAGCTGTGGGTCTTGACGGTACCCGTGCGGTGAGTTTGGGGCTTCTCTCCTGCGGAGGCAGCAAGAGCCGAATGGTTGCTCACGGTAGGCTGTGTGCTGCCTGGCGTCCTCACCGAGAATCCCGGTGAAGCTGCAGGAGGGGCAGTGTATGGATGTCCCAGGGCAGCGAGTGGTCACTCTCCCTCTCCAGCATTCTTCCCAAGTTGGTGACAAGCATCCAGGCAGGATGGAGTCTAGGGGCGTGGGGGCTGTTGCTGGACCAGCCAAAGGAAGAGATGGGTGTACAGGGGCCAGGTTGTGGGGCTGCCTGGAACTGCCCTGGGCTGAGGAAGGGTGTGACTGCGGTGTGACTCCCCGGGGGCTCCACAACAGAAAGCTAGGACCGTGAGGGTTTCTCGGACTTTTAGTAGGGAGTTCTGCAATAGGTTCACAGCCCCTAGAAAGACCTAGGGTGCCTGTGCCCAGGCCCAGGCATTGTTCTGTAACTCTGCCAGCAAGGGGCATCCCAAGTATTCCTTCCCCAGGAACCACTCTGCCCCTGTTGGGTCCCTCAAGGCTTGGGCATGCTTGGGTGAAGTCCCCTTGGGTATAATGGGGACTTATACCCCACTAACCAGCCAGCCTCCTTGTGCCTAATTTACCCCCTCCACAGCATCTCCCAGGTGTAGAAGCAAGAGGAGATCATTCTTCTCTCAGCTCTTGTGGGGAATCATAAGGGGTGGAGGGTGACTTGCATTCATCTTACCCCATTATGAAGGTGTTCCATGACCCATCCCTTAGTTGGTGGCTTGCATGTTGCTTTAATGCTGGAAGCTATGCCACTGGCATTGCAAATACCAGGAGGGTCACCCCATGGTGGGCAGGTTTCAGTGCAGCTTCCAGACTCAGACAGGCTGGGAAGTAAGGCGTAGAGATCTACTTCTGGGAATTAGCCAGTGGGAACCTTATGGATCACAACCGAACAATGATACAGTTTTGGAAGATGAGCCCCCAAGGTTGGAAGGCTCTCAAAATACACACAGTGGCCACAACTGACTCGAGCGTATGGATGATTGTGACCATGGCGCAGGATGAAGCAACATTTTGTCCTGCTGTCCATGGAGTGGCCGAGTCAGAGCCAATTCTATGGCAACTAAGAACATGAAAGTGTCATTCAGTCCCAAAGAGGGGGACCAGCCCATGCAGGCTGGAGAAGTGTTTTGACTATTAGAGGTTGGGGGGAAGCAGGGCCTGAAGGCATGACACAGCCGGCAGGTGGGAGTCAACTTGGTGGGGCAGCGATAGGGCAGTGAGGCCTGCTCCCAGGAATGGCTGTGTCGGGGGGGGGGGGTGTGTGCACTCGCTGGAGCAGGTTGGTGCTTGCATCAAGGAGAGGGGACGGGGCCTCGGGAGTTCGGTGAGCTGGGGTGAAGGTGGCCAACGGTGTCCCTCTAGAAAGAACAGGGGAGGTTCTGCACTTCCTGGTGCAGACACAGGCCAACAGACCCCCATTCATCTTCCTGAGCCAGGCCCCAAGTCACTTTTCACATCTCAGTATGAGTCATATTAACTGCTTAATTTATTTAGTCTGTTAAATCGATTTAGCTCGGCCCACCACTCCCACACTTGCTGGGGACAACCGAGGCACAACCAGGCACACAATGCTGACCTTTGTTGTTACTGGGAGCCCAGGGCTCAACCCAGGGCAAGCCTGCAAGCTCTACACATGTGGACAGTATATATAGAGAGAGCCACCTCTGGCCAGAGATGACAGCTGATCCCACAGCTCATCAAGTCTATGTACAGTATTTCACGTATCACTCAAGAGACAGAACAGGATAAAGATATTACCACCAACAACCACTCCTCTGATCACTCCCATCCCCCCCCCCCCAAAATTCACCACCACACACTGCATTAATCCCCCACCCCATTCCCGATTCGTTAAATATGGTGCAAGCTTGCAGACTCTTAGGAGGAAGTCGAGTTCTGCTGAAGAGTCCCTGGAGCTCTGGAAGCCAAGGCGCTGGGTGCCCCCAGGGCTGTCCAGTGCCCAAGGCTGCGGCTCAGGAGGCTGCAGCAAGGAACTAGTGAGCGGGGCCAGGAGGCAAAGGAGGTAGACGCCAGCTGGCCCAGCTCGGGGAACTGTGTCCCTCAGAGTCTCAGCCCTGGGCTCTGCCACCGCCTCTGCCCAGCCCCACGTGCTACTTGGACCAGGGCTGTGGAAGGGTTGAGTAGTGGCTGCTACAAGGCCAAGGGCAACGCCAAGAGAATGTCATCTCCTCCCACTTCCTGCCCGAGAGACCCTGGGCCTGCTACTCAGTCCATCACAGCCCATCTGGTTCTAGGCAAAATGTCTGAAAGCCTGGTGAGAAGCTTCTGGGCAGCGACTGAGTGGCCCACCCAGATATGAGTGACAACAGCCAGGATGTGGCCTTTCCAGAGGGCGGGGTCTCTTTCTTTCCACCTGCCGGACTCTCTGCTCTAGGGGGTGCTTGCTTGTTGCAGGCAGAAAGGCCCTTCGCCCAGCAGGTCCCAGCCAGTCCCCAGTACTGCAGTTTGAGAATAAGAGGTGAAAACCTCCCTTACATCCATGTGGTCCCTGGGCAGCCCCCTGGCAGGTGAACAGAAAACAGCCCTTCCCCCAACTCCTGGCCAGCTCCTGCACAAAACAAGGGACTCTTCTACGGCCAACCCCGAACTCCGTCCCAGGGGAGGTGGGACCTGGAGAAGCTGGGTTAGCACTGCCACCACTATTTCATACCCTTGGAGTGCCCCCTGGCTGCCAGCCTCTATGGGCCACAGTCCCATTTGAACAAGCAGCTTCCCCGGGGATCCTGCGGCGCAGGTCCACGCCATGCTGATTAGTGTAGGCCAGAGCCCTGGTGTCTCTGGAGTGGGAAGCCCACTCAGGGAGTTTCCAGATGGTCCCAAGTAACACATTCCTCCCGGCCAGGCCTTTTTTTTTTTTTTTTTTTTCTTCTTCACAGCTTTCAGGCGAGTGTGGAGTTTAGAGACAGTAACCAGGCTCCAAAACCTGGGCAGATGTTTCCCTGGTGCTGCGCCCACTCGCCTCCTGGGGAGGTAGTAGGGACGGCTTGTGCCGCTTCTCAACGAGCTGCCGATCCACAGGAAGCCACGCGGCGGAGCGCACCGGGGGCAATGCTGGCCGTGGAACGCTCCCGACAGGGGGCTGGGCGGGGCTAGGGCGGCGAGTCCTGCGAGTCCCGGCTCAAGCCGTACTGCTCGCTCACGGCGTGGTCCAGCTCCTCCAACTCGGCAGGCAGCGGGATGGCCAGCTCCCCCAGGTACAGGGACAGGGCTTCAAAGGAGTCCTCCAGTTTTGAGAATGCGGGTCTGGAGAGAAAAGGGGAGAGTTAGCTGGGAGCGGGGCCGGGTGGGGTGCTGGGCTCCAAGCGAGGCTTGGAAGACACCCGGCCTCAGGGTCCGATGGATCAAGGAGGAGTGGGGCTCAGGCTCGCTCAGCTGTGTGAGTTCGGGCAAGTCTCAACCTCACTGTGCCTGCGTGGGACCTGGGCATAACATGTCCCTGCTGCCTCATAGGACAGCTGCAAAGACTGGAGCTAAGGTGGGGGTAAGGCTGGTCTATTGACTGCCTTCGGGTGACAGCTTACAACAAAGCCCAGGAGAGAAGAGGCCTCTCCTATGTGAAAGTGTGATCATCCAAGTGGGTCTGGACTAAGCCACATTTTAAAGATCCTTCCCAGCCCTCAGGTTTCCTGCCTCCACACCAGGGGATCAGGGGCGTTTTCCAGACTCAGCAGCTCCCCGAAGGAGAGAGAACGAGGACACCTGGCGGGACTGCTGTGGACGCTAATTAGCGGCCCTGGACTCCTCGACACATGTGGCCACGCCTTCTCCTCCCTGTCTGTGCTCCAGCAGGTGAGGCCCACTCTGACCCTCATATTCAAAACTGCAAGTAACACCCCCTAATAATCCCCTGTACTGGGCTTGACTCTCTTTCTAAATCATTCACCACCTTGTAATATTCAACAGAAAAAAGAAACAAAACCCACTGCCATTGAGTTGATTCCAACTCATAGTGACCCCCATTGGGTTTCCAAGACTGTAAATCTTTACAGAAGTAGATTGCCCCATCTCCCTGCCATGGAGCAGCTGGTGGGTTTGAACTGCTGACCTTCTGGTTAGCAGCCAGATGCCTTACCCACTATGCCACCAGAGCTCCTTGATATTCAGTGGAGTTTACTTATTTACTCTTTGATCGCCTCTCCTTGCCGGAACGTTAGAGCCATGAGGGCAGACCTTTGTTTGGTTCATGCTGCTCAAGTGCTTACAACAGTACCTAGCACGTGGCAGCAGCTCAATAAATATGAATGAATTACAGACAGATAGACATTCCGAATGACCAAGAAGGGATATTACAGCAAACAAATCGCGTGTAGCTCCGCAGGTTCTCATTCTCTTAGCCCGATGGTACTGAAGCCTGTAAAGGAACAAGCTAAAGTCTCTGGGGTGTGGTCAGTCGCGCGTATATGGCTTTTCTCACCACAGTCTTATAATCCCACCAAAGGACTGGGTAAGACTATGCAAATAAGGTGCCTGTGACCCACCAAGGGGATTGGACAGCTTGCTACTCATGTAAATGAGGTGCATAGCACCCTTGTGGGGGTGGGACCATGCAAATAACATGCCTGGCACCCTAATGGCTTAAAGGAATGCCAGTCCCAGAGCGGAGGAGCCCTTACCACCACCAAGAAAGAAGAGTTGGGTGGGGACATCCTTTTGACCCGAGTCCCGTGCGCTGTGAACCTCCCAGACAGAGAGCTGTAAACACCGGAGCCAGCAAGCGACGAGAGCACAGCAGCAGCAAGAGTGACAGCAGTGCGAGATGGCAGGAACAAGGAGACCGGCCCGAGGCTAAGGGAGCGCGCTGACCCATGGAGGGGCAGAGCCGAGTGCCTTCGGGCAGGAGGCTTACTGGTGGAATGAGGTGCTTTCGGGCACTTATTGGTGGGGCTAAAGAGCTTTGCAACACTTGCCCAAGCAGGGCAGAGGCCAGGCTGAGGAGCCAAAGGCCAGCAAAAGGCCTGCCTGTGGCCATGGCTGAGAAGCTGTCCTGATCGAAGAACTGTATCCTGAGTCGTTCCTTATCCTGAGTTGTAACCTGTTACCTCCCTAATAAACCTCATGATCATAAGCAGTGTCTGTGCATTTGGGGCAGCCCTTGCAATGAATTACTGAACGCAGCAGAGAAGTAGAGAGGGGCAGCTGTTAGCAGATTTGTAAGAAGGCTCATGAGAGGATGTATGTCTGACTTTCACCTCATAGATCCGTCTTGGCTGTTGATGTTGACGACGATTCTTCATCCCCCTTGGTGAAGTTAGACAAGGAGGTCCGGTGCCCCCACACCATTTTTACAGTCTCCCACCAGCAAATTTAACTCTAAGGTGGACCTTTGGAAATTATTTTAAAATAAGAACCATGTGCCAACTTGTCTCAGAAGGGTGCAGTTGGGCAGTAAGAGGAATGTTGAGGGGAAATTACAGAAGACTTATACTTCCTAGGCTATTTTGTTAATGTTTGAAATTGTTTTTTAAAAGAAACATGACTTTTGAGAACAGAAAGAACAAAAATATATAAAGTTTCTATTTTTCTAATGCAAAATCTTAGAAAGGCCTAGGGTAACTCTGGTAATTATGAAAAGTATATGACAGAGCCTGGTCAAACCCCCTAGTCACCCTTCAAGCCTAGAATTGAACTCACTCTTGTGGCTTCCAGCCAAACAACTGACAGGCATATAAGGTGACCAATTACACCAGGTAGATACACTCCTTAGAACGATCAATCATGGGAGATCAGAAGGGCAGTATTTGCACAGGGAGACAGCTCAGGGGGCAGGAATGTATAGGAAAGGAAGACACAGGGAAGAGGTAACTACAGGGAGGAAGTGGGAAGAAAGCTGTTACATTATAGGGATTGCAGTCAACGTCTTGAAACAAAATGTGTATGAACTGCTGTATGGAAAATTAATTTGCTCTGTAAACTTCCACCCAAATCACAATAAACAAATAAATAATGAAAAGTATAACCTGAGAATAAAGGTAATTTTAAAAAGACTTCTTTAAAAGAGAAATTAACTAAATGCTTCAAGATGCTCACTGTAGTTATTACTCATTCTAGGAAAGAAAAACTAGAATGTCTACATGATGTATGTTATAAAATGTGCAGACAGTCTGAGTAGAATTTCATGTAGTCAATTGAAATGATAAACAGTAACAGGAAAAATGCAGGACAAGATACAACCTTTCTATCTATTCTGAAATTACAATATAAAAGGTGAGTGTGTGTGTGAACATGGACACGGGGAATATGGAACAATGAAGACACTTATTGTGTAAAAAGGCTGGTACAAGTTTCGGTGAATTTTCTTCTTTTAAAATTTTATAGCTGTGTCTCTGGGTCTCATATCCAGGTCACGTGCTAGTTATACCCTCGTCTTCTCTGCACAACCTGCCATGTCAGGGTCAGACGCCAAAGGATAGGCAAGCAGCCCAAGACCGTGTGAGCTGGGAAAGGGGGTGGCACCCACCTGCTCTCAGGCTCCAGTTTGCAGCAGATGGCAGCCAAGGGGAAGAAGGCTGGGGGACAGTCTGTGGGGACAAACTTCTCCCAGAAAAGCTTCACGTTGAGGCCAAAGTCCAGTGTGCGGGGCAGGCAATCCGGATCTGCGTACACCTGTCCAATGATCTGCAGGTGAGGAGATGGCGAGTCAGGAGTAGACAGAGGAGGCCACAGCCACACGGCAGGGGAAGGATGCTGGTGTGCAGCCAGAAGGACCGGCACGAAGGGGAGTGGGAAAACCTAGGTGAGAGCTGCCCCTGGCCATCTCGCCAATCCTGCCAACCCAGATCTGCTTCTTGAATAGAGTCCAGCTGCCAAGGACTTAGAGGCAGCCTCACTGCCGCAGAAGCACAATGTTTCAAACTGGGATACGAGACCTGGCAGCTTCCACACACATCCCACCTGCTCTGGCACTGGCCCCATAGAGTACACGCCCCATAAGGCCAGGGGCTCTGTCTCATACAATGGGGCACCAGCATAGTGCTTTGTGCACAGTGGATGCTCAATTGATAGCTATTAAAGAAAACAACTTTCTTTGAAAAATTTTCCTTGAAAAAGGATAGTGGTGATGATTGCACAACACAATGGATGTCATCAATGTCAATATATAGGTAAATATCGCTGAATTGGCAAACGTTTTTATAAATACGTATGTATGTGTATAATTTTACGGACACAACATATACAATAATTCATCAGTTTCCACATGTACTCTTTAGTGACACTGATTACTTCACGTCATGCAACCATTTTTGGTCTTTTTCTACATTATCTTGTCACCACTAAGATATTTTCAGTGCACTTGAAGCAAAAGCTCTCTTTCCCCCTCTCTCCTGCTCCATAAAACCCAACCCAACCCAATGCCTTCAAATAGATTCTGACTCATAGCAACCCTACAGGACAGAACAGAACTACCCCACAGAATTTCCAAGGCTGTAATCTTTATAGAAGCAGACTGGCACATCTTTCTCCTGTGGAGCAGGTGGTGGGCTCAAACCACTTTCAGTTGGCAACATAGTGCTTAACCATTGCACCACTAGGGCTCCTCTCCCTCCTACTCTACCACTAATTACTTTTGGTTTCTATATATTCATTTTATATAAATGAGATCACACAGCATCTGTCCTTCTGTCCAACTGACTTGACTCATCATAATGTCCTCCAGGTCCATCCATGTTGTGGCATTGGGACTTCATCCCTCTTTATGGCTGAGTAATATTCCAGTGTATGCATATAGTACATTTTGCTTAACAATTTTTCAGTTTTTGGACATTCTTGTTATTTCTACCTTTTTGCTGTTGTGAATAGTGCTGTGACCAACATTGGTGTACGTGTCTGAGTCACTGCTTTCAGGTCTTTGGGGTATATACTGAAGAGTGGAATTGCTAGGTTATATGGCAGAACTATGTTCAACTTTTTGAGGAACTACCGAACTGTTTTCCACAGTGTCTGTACCATTTTACAATCCCACCGACAACAGATGAGTGTTCCCGTTTCTCCACAACCTCACAAACACTGTGTTTTCAGTTTTTTGGTCATTACCACTTTTATGGGGGTGAGATGATAGCTCACTGTGGTTTTGATTTGCATTTCCATAATGGTGAATGACTAAATATTTTTTCATGTGTTTGGTGAAATGTCTTTTCAAGTCCCTTGCCTATTTTTGACCGGGTGTTTTTTTTGCTGTTAAGTTGAAGAAGTGTTTTATAAATTTGTAACTTGTATCCAATATAGGTATCTCTGTTTCTCCAAAGTTTGCTTTACACAACTTCATTTTCACAAAAGACTTATGTTAGTACCTGTTTTCACTAGCCAAAAGAAATCTGAAGAGGATGTTCACTCTTACAAAAAAAAAGACAAAAAAGCGAAACTAGTATTCAGCGTTTGTTCTGCAGCGAGCCGTAAGAGGCAGTGTGGACCCTGACCAGTGGGTGGCATCACCAAACTCCTTCCCTAGCGACTACTCTCAACATTAAGCCACCATAGCTTTGAACTGTGCCTGTGAACACACTACATATATTAATGTTACTTTAGGTTTTATGTGTCACTTGGTATGATTTAGTAGGTTTGGTTATTTTTTGGGTCTGGGAACATTTAAAAATGAATTGTTTCCCATATAAATTAATGGTAACTACTTCTTCACTTTACACCATTTCGGCTTATAAAAGGTTTCATAGGCCAAAGATTGTGACTGGTTGCCAAGGGCAGGAGGGAGGGGGAAAAGGGAAGCTTTTGTTTGTGGGGCATTGAGTTTGTGCTAATGGTGGTGGAATGTTTCAGAAAAGGACAGTAATAATGGTGGCACAACGTGAAAAATGTCATCAATGTCCCTGAGCTGTGAATGTGAAAATTGTTATGTTGACAAATGTCTTGTTGTGTATATTTTCACCACAATAAAAGTTTTTTTAAAAAAATAAACTTTCATAGGAATGTTCTACTCGGGGCTAGCAGGGGAAACCTATATACGGTTTCCAAATTATTATATATATATTTTTTTACCACAACTGAGGGGAAACAAATTTAAAAAACCTTCCTTATCATTCCACATGGCCCTTGTCTCTCCTCTCCTCCCCCGCTCACAGCTTTCTCTGTGGGAATTACAGAAGCCATTCCATGTGTGTTCAAGTGCCCGCTTCAGGACGTGCTGAGCTGTACTGCTGCCCGACTGCTCAGCTGCGAAGGGCAGGCATCAGGGCGGACTCTGTACCCCACAGTGCCTGGCCCAGGGACGCTACTTCCTGCAGTGGCTACTTCAGCCTGTTGGTCTGAAGGTGGGGGCACCACCAGGCAGGGGAGGGGCAGCAGAAGGGAAATGGGCAAGGAGGCATTAGGCCCGAGTGCGAGAGGAACGGCCACATGAAAGCTTCCTGCCTTTCCTACCAGAGTTCCAGTCACTACTGCCCCTTTCCTCACCCGACAACATCTGCCCAGTCTTTCTCATGGGACCAGTGACTCAAGTGTGTGAGCAGATGTGAAGATGCGCTATACACTACGGAACTCTACCTGGACTGATTTTATGGAGAGCTACCCCTCCCAGGGGGAGGAGCCCCAGTTCTGAGGCAGGGCAGCACAGACAGGCCTGCTGCCTCAGGCACGGCCTCCGGGCTGGAGCTCACCTCGCAGAGAACAATCCCGAATGAGAAGACATCCACGGTCTCGTCGTAGCTCTTTCCTTTGGGAACACAGGAGAGCAGGCTGTTAAGTTTAAGGGCCGTATCTGTTCTGCACAGAGTCTAGGGCCAAGCCGAGCCGTAGCCAAGAACCCAGGCTGCCCAAAGCAGGCGCCACCTCTCCTCAGCCCTGGAGTCATTCAACAGCACTGCCCAGGATGAATCGCGTGGGATGGCAAAGAGAACGGAGCCACCCTCGTCCTGGCTCTGCCAGCAGCCTGCTGTGTCAGGGCAAACCACCAAACTCTCTGGGCCTCAGACTTCAAAAAGGGCTGTATCAGGCCACTTCGGAGGCTTGACAATCACGTGTGTTTAATAAATGCCATCCAGCATCTCTGGCTGGTTTAAGCATTATCCACCAGGGGGCACCACACTTCAGTTTTCAGCAAGGAGAGTGAAAACCAAAACCACTTACTGCCAGTGGGTCAGGAGCTTTCGGGGTACAGTGCCTAAGGTATTTGACTGCTAACCAGAGGGTTCATGATTCAAACCCACCAGCCACTCTGCAAGGGGAAGACGGGGCAATCTGCTTCCATAAAGATTTACTGACTAGGAAACCCAGTGGGGGTCGCTGTGAGCTGGAATCAACTAGACAATGGGTTTTTTATTTTTTTTTTGGCCAGTGAGTCGATTCTGACTCATAGCGACCCCTACTGGGTTTCCAAGGCACTAAATCTTTATAGAAGTAGATCACCCCATCTTCCTTCCATGGAGAGGCTGGTGGATTTGAACCACCAACCTTCTAGTTAGCAGTCAAAGCCTTAGGCACTGCACCACCAGGGCAAAAAGCTAGGGTAAAAAGCAGCTGGATCTCAGCTATACTTGGGGCACAAAAGCCACAGTCAGACCTCCAGTTTGACCCCAGTGTGGGACAAGGTCAGATCCCAGCCCCGAGCTGGGGGAGGAAGGCATTTATGAGACTCAATCTGCCAGAGGATGAAAACTACCCACCCTGGCTCTGGGTGCCTGGTCCTACATATCACAAGGTTCTCCTGGAGGCACGATGTGGCCTTGGTGGGACTCCCCTGGGGCACGCCCTCCGCAGGCCTCAGGACTCACCGTTCAGCATCTCAGGAGCCATCCAGTAGGGGTTTCCCACCACCGTGTAGCGCTTCTTGCGGTCGTTCTTGCGCAAGGTGCGTTTCTTCGTGGCAGCCTTCTCCACCGGGGGCTTCTTCCTTTCTTCCACTATGAGCCGCGACAGCCCGAAGTCGGCCACCACGACAGTCTTGTCCTGGGAGGACACAGAGCAGGGCAGGCCTTGGTAGGGATGTTCCCAAACCTGACCCTGGGGTGAGAGAGAGGCCAGAGAAGCCAGGAAGAAGGGGAGAAAAGTGCCCAGCAAAGGACCGACACTGGCTGCCGTGGCATCAACCCCAGCTCACAGCGACCCGTGTCGAGCAGAACTGCGCCCCACAGGGTTTCCAAGGGCTGGTTTTTCAGAAGCAGATGCCAGGCCTGTCTTCCAAGGCACCTCTGGGTGGTCTCAAACTGCCAACCTTTTGGTCAATAGACAAGCATCTGACCATTTACTCTACCAGGGAGCCAAGACGCTATCTGGCAGAGGAGGCTCAATTTCTGTGTTTCTAAACACGCAGCCTGCATGCCCAGCAAACTCCTGGGACCAAGAGAGGGTTAGCAGCAGAGCACCTGAGACTGGATGGGTGAGGCTCTGGGGCCTGGAGAGTGGAACTCGGGGGCGAAACGGGCTTTCTTCTGACCTATTTCCAGAAGGATCTAAGGCAGTGGCTAGAACCAGGCTAAGACAGAAAAAGACAAGATGGAGGCAGTGTGGGGAGCCTGGGGGAGATATGCTCTTCAAATAGCTACAGGGCAGTCATGTGGAAAAAGGATTAAGATGGTTTGGTGTGGGTCCAGAGGCAGAGCCGGGGCCAGCTGGTAGACACACAGGAGGCCAGATTGCGAGTCAGTAAGAGGAACGACACTGTAATAGCAGAGCTAAGGAGCAGTGGGAAGAGTGCTGAGTCAGAAGACAGGGCTCAACCCGTCCCTGTAAACCGGATAGCTCTGTGGCCTCAGGTTGATGCTTCAGGTGCCACAGCTGCAAAATGGGGTCAGCAGAGAGCTGCTTCACAGGACTATCATGGGACGAAACCAGGTGAAGTGACAGGGCTGCACGTCCAGTTCAGGAGCTTCTGAAGTCCTTTGTAAGAAAATGATTTCACAGCCTGCTGCTTAGGGGAGGTGGAACCGTGTCTGTCTGTGTCTGGGAGTTCTCACAAAACAGAGGAGGGGCAAGACAGAAGGCCCAGCAGGAGGGGACAGTCAGCCTCCTTTGTGACAAAGGAGCCAGCAGGGCTGGCCTCTGGGACGTACCAGCTTGACCAGGCAGTTGTGCGAGTTCAGGTCTCGGTGGATGATGCACATCGAGTGTAGGTAGGCCTGGAACAGAAGAAATGTGAGCTGAGGCCACGGCCAGAAATCAAGCAGACCCAACTCCGCAACTGGGCTCACAGAATCTGGTCTTCTCCAGGCATCCCCGCCCAGCTGCGGAACCCAACCCAGGCTCCACCACACCAGCCCCTGCTGCCCTCTCATAAAGCCCCCAATTCCACTGGGCCCTGGCCCTTCCATCCCCTAAACCCTAAGCCGTTTTCCTAAGCTCTAGGCCACCTGGAGGGAATGCCTCTGGCACGGTGCTCCGCTCCCTCCTCTGGATCCACACTCTCTGTTCCTGATGAAACCTAACCACCCTCACTTTTCTGTCTAGACGTCAACACCTTTCTACCTCAAGGCTGCCCCGCTCTCTCCTGTGCTACCTGTCCCTCATCGCCTGTGGGCTTGGTTTCCTTCCAGGCCTTCTCAATGTCAGCCTTGCTCAAGGCCATCTTCTCTTCATACACAGCACTCCCACCACATGGATACCTCTACCTTTTGCTGTCAAGTCGATTCCAACGAGAGCAACCCTATAGGACAGAGTAGGACTGCCCTATAGGGTTTCCAAGCCTGTAATCTCTGTGGAAGCAGAATGCCACATCTTTCTCCCATAGAGCAGCTGGTGGTTTTGAATAGCCAACCCTTTGTTTAGCAGCCAAACGCTTAACCACTATGGCACCTGGGTGCTGTTGTTGTTAGGTGCCGTCGAGTCATCTCTGACTCATAGCAACCTCATGCACAGCAGAACAAAACACCGCCCGGTCCTGTGCCAGCTCCATGATCCTTGCTATACTTGAGCCCATCACCGCTGCCACCATGTCAATCCATCTCGTTGAGGGCCTTCCCCTCTTTCGTCGACACTCCACCTTACCAAGCATGAAATCCTTCTCCAGGGAATGGTCCCTTCTGACAACATGACCAAAGCAGGTGAGACGAAGTCTGGCCATTCTCACCTCCAGGGACCATTCTGGCTGCACTTCCTCCAGGACAGATGGGTTAGTCCTTTTAGCAGTCCACGGTACTCTCAGCACTCTTTGCCAGCACCACAGCTCAAAAGCATCAACTCTTCTTCAGTCCTCCTTATTCATTGTCCAGCTCTCACATGCATATGAGG